AGACCGTAGCATGACATTAAGAAAGTAAAAAAGAGCTCTCATCAAACAAATGCAAATTCCGATTGTCGATTATTTAAATTTTCTGCCATATATTCCATGGCATTTTATGCTAACAATTCAACATGTTAGCAAATTTGTGACAGAATACAGCTTTTATTTTATACTAAAAGAATTACTTCATAATTTGTTTATTAAAATTCTAATAAATTAATTATCAAAATTCTAAACTGTTTATTTAATATAAAGACTGTTATTTAATGTATCAATTTTTATATTCTGTACTAAAAACTGTTTATTTAGCATAGAAATACTAATTAAATCAGAGTAAAATATGACTTTAATTAGATAATGTTTTCATCAAGATGTTTTTGTTTGGAAAGGCACCCATAGATTTTTCTAGTTTAACATATTACAAAATATTACACAATTTATTTCAAAATTAATTAAAAAAAAGTGATAGCATTTCGGTTATTCTAATCTAAGTCGAAACTTGGAATTCGAAATTAATGTTTTCTCACGATATCGAATTTTCATTTAATTAATTTTTTTATCTCTTCAATTTTGGCTTATCGAAATTCGTTTTATAATAACTTTTTATTGCATTATGTATAGTTATGAGCAATAACTGTTGGTTAGTCATACGCTATGAAGAATTTTTGTTATCTTGCTGTAAATAGAGGCAATCCTTGAGTTATCACCGTGCCAGTCAACTATAGTAAATATTGCAATAAAATAAAATATTTATGATATTTTTGACTTCCCAGTATATATATAAATTATGTATATAGTAATTCATTCTATAGTTTATAAAACAATAGCGGCCAACAGTCTGTTTTTGATTATTTGTGCACTGGAAGATTATAGCAGCTGAATAAAGAATTGTCCTACAATTTGTTGTTGTTATTGTTGCGACTAATCTCGTTTCTCTGACATTAGAGCAAAACCACGAAATTCATCCTGGTAAGGAGACAACATCCTGGTAAGGAGACATCCGTCATTGGCAAGAGCCTTGGGTACCATACAGGTGAGAGTACTACTTTGCTCATTTCCGACCTCAGTTTCGAAGGAGAGTACCCTGGGGGGGGCGGAGGACACGAGTCCGAGAGCCTCCTACTCCTCTTCTCCTACCATCACCCTCTCGAGAGGACTTTCGGCTCGCCAGATATTTAGAGTGCCCCTATGCCGCAAAGATACTTATTTACAAACATCAATGCCCTCTCCGGGATTCGAACCCAGGCTTTTCGGTACGGCAGTCAGATGTCACAGAATTTTGATTTGCAAAAAAGCGCAGTACCAGAAAAATTCTTTTACTAATTATTCAAACAAAACTTATCTAAAATATTATGTAAATTCAGGCTTTTATCATATTAAATTTCTAGCATCATTCTTAGAGGAATAGAAGAATATAATATATTTAATAAGCTTTAATACGCAACGTTTCGAGGAAATGGAGCTTTCGAGCGATGAATATGTTAGCAATATATCTCAGCAATTTACGCATGAAGTTTTGGTAAAATCCTACGAGTCCATGCCTACATTTATGGCATTAGAAAAAATGTTTGATTAATTAGAATAATGATACAAATGTTTCTGAAAATTATCATTTGTATTTATTAAAAATTAAATGCATTTTTGTTACAAAAGTTAGCTGCAACAATAAAATAAAAGTGCAAGTTATATAAAGAACAAGTTTACTACTTTTAAATCATTCAGTTTGTTTACCATTTACAGTTTTAATTTGGAAGATAAATTAAATGATTTTATAGATCATCAAATGTCAACTCTCAGAGAACTAGCTATTTGCCACACCACATATCAAATCGATTAAATCTGTTATGTCTGATTCAATGGCACTTTTCAAGTTACGGGTATGATAAATGATTTGGACAAGTGATGTAACACAACAGCTCTATAATTTGTAAAGATTACATTGAAGACACTTCCACCTTCAAATATTCTAAAACTTCTAATTATAACAGCAAAAAAAAAAAAAAAAAAAAAAATTATCTCTTGTAGATCTTTACTTACTTGTACAAAGTTAAAGAAAATATTGTAATCGCGAAAAACTTCGGTTACCATGCTTCAACGGATATGTTCATTTTGAGGTTCCTGGATACATTTGGACAATTTTTATGCGTACCATCTGTACATACGTACAGAGTAAAGGATTCTTTTTTTTTTTTTTTCCTAAACAGATTGTAAAATGGATTCCAAAGGGAATTTTTCGTGACATCTTTACGTATGTATGTACCTCGCATAACTCAAAAAACGATTATCTGTCGATCGTTGAAATTTTGCATATGGGACTGCTATAACATCTAGTTGTGCACCTTTTTTTTATTGCAATCGGCAATATATATAAATATAATATACCTATCTCCTTTATTTCGTAATTGTTAATCGTGATCATATATTTCCAACTATAAGTTTATTAAAAAACAAAAAATATTAATGTTTTGGCAATCTCGAATATTTTTAAAAGGTAATTTTTGACAAATAACGAAATCTAACTTGCAAATGCGGCCTCCCGGTTTATATACTTAAATTTGGGAAAGTTTTATACTAGTTGTGAAAAATTAAAACTATAGGAAATGTGTTTCCCGTACGACAAAAATTGACCGGAATATTTAATTTCCAAATATGCAGTTTTTGATGTCATTTTCGACTTACCTTGAAGGATCGGTTAATTAAGTTAGAATAATTTGAAGAAATAAGCTTAAATGAAGTGCAGCAAAATATGTATATAATTTGAATAGGCGGTACAAGGAAGTCATGTGGTGGTCACATCAGAATTTTTTGCTTTTGTGGTAAGTATTTCAGTATTTAATTCTTTATACATGATGGGACTTATTTATTACAATTGAGGAGAACATTGTTTTCTTAACTATTAAATCTTTCGATTTATCTACATAGGATGTGATCGTCTATTTTATTTTCAAGCGAAAATGAAATTATTTATTTTTAGGAAAACTGAAATTATAAATTTTCCTAATGCACGACATAATGGTGAACAATTATTGAAAACAATGCAAGACTAAAAACTTTAATTTAATGAAAAATTTAGGTTAAAAAAGTAAGAATCGGATTCTAGATTATTGAATATATAATTGCACCTGATCGAAAATTTTAAAATATAAAAACTTCATCGCAAATCAATCGTCCTTTTACTTGCTTGAAAAATGAAATAATACTGAATAGAAGAATGTATATTTAAGTTTAAACAACGGAAATCAATTTTCTTAAGATAAAAGCTGACATTCTCATTTTAACTTTTAAGATCTAATTACCCTACTTTAGTATTTACGACGAAGTAAACAACTTGGGTTTATGCCCAAGTTTTCTTTTCTGAAACAAATAATTTTAATGAAATTACTAGCTATTATATTCGAAGCTAACTTTGCAGTAATTATCTATTGTTTGTTAACAGGCGTATAACTGTCGCTTATACTCATTCAGTTCATGTTTTTACAACTTTGAACATCTCTTCGGACAGGGCAGACCCATCAAGTTGCCATAAACATGCATGACTCTTTTCCTAACAACAACAGACGCACAGCTTGCACTCGGGTTTGGAAGGCGTCAGAGTGGGCGCACTATCTGTGAATCATCTGGAAAAAGGTCGACTTGTAGGCAGTGGGACAAGGATATTGCCACTGCGGGAAAGTGAAGAGTTCCCAGATCTCACTTTTTCAATGTTCTACCGTGTGGGCAAAGAGCCCTGGTCTGCAACGAGTGCGTTGTGCGACTGTCTTTTGGAGGAGCCCACGATGTGTGTTGGTAGCTGTTGCTCTTTGGGGGCGATTGCTTGGGTGACGATAACTTTCTGTCAGGTGAAAAGTCAGTTCGTCGTAAAGGTTAAGTTTTCGGTTTCAGGAAATCCGACGCGTGATGTCACGGAGACGATTGAGTGGGTGGGGAATAGGAAGCGGTAGGTGTAATATTTGAGTACCTAGATCGTTTTTAGTACTATGGATTCAGCACCAAATAAACTACTTGCTTATTGAAGGTCACGTGCTCTTACAGTCTTCACAAAGAATGGAAAAGGAAATCTACCTACCAGCTATTTTAGATCTAGATATTTTAAAATTAAGTATCTTCAGATTAAGAATGTTCTTGCATAAGTTCAATGCCTTGTTGAAATTTTGATGCATTTTGTTTGAACTTCTTAGAAAATTTCGTAATCGCAAATATATTGATGTCATTCAATAAATGTTTTTTCTGGTGTGCTCAACATTACCCCATTCTACTGCAAATTCAATAAGAGTTATAATAGAATTTCTATTGATTATAAATCCGTAATGATAAAAACTATTTAATTATATTTTATTATTATTTATGTTATAATTAAATAATTAATTATATAATATTATTATTTAATTATAACAATATATTTAGCAAGAAGAATAGCAATACGATGTTTATTAGAGATTTTAAGTGAATGTTTACGGAGTACCATATATTTTACTTGATTTGATTTAAATGGCAGATTATACTAACAGTGAACTTTTTTTGTAGGTGGACATCAGCTAAAAATAATTGCTCGCAAGGTTTCCTTGAGTTACCTCCGCATCATTTCAGTTCAGTCCAATTTGGTAATACGCGTTAAATAATTTTCATTGAAAAAACGTAATTTGTATTTATGCTGTTAAAATACTTTCTATTCAAGTACTGCGGTACTTAAAATACTGAGGTACTTTCTATTCAAGATGATGGGATTTTTAACGTGTTCCCTTAAAGGTGTTAAATCAAAGCAATATTCAGGGTACTTTATCGAGAGTGATAAAGGTATCATCACAGAAAGCTGTGTTAATATGTTTTTGCTGAAGATTCAACCAAAGCGAATTTCAACCAATTTATGAATTCGATTTTCTAGATGCGCAATAATTTTACTCACTAGAACTACAGTAAAATCCAAAACTTCATAGTAAAATCAGTAAATCTGCATGATTTTAGCATTAACCGCCATGCATAAAGAGTGATGATTTAAAAGCTACACTCACCCTAAATAATCTTTCTTTTGTAAACCAAGCATCTTCATCTTCTTCTAAGCCTAAATCCACATTTAACTCATCCCTTGACCGGGACAGAATTTTTCTCCTGCTTATCATTATTTACTGCAAAAAGAAAAGAAAAGAAAATTATTATTGGCATGAAATTGTATTAAAATGCATCAATAATGCTCAAAAAGATGATAGTAAATGCGTCCAGTATTATAAAAATATAATAAAAGCAAATTTCTTTAAAACGTTAATATTTTGAGTTCACATAAAATTGATGAAATTTGCACTTCATTGCAAAAATTAACCAAAAATGCACGTGATCATCCAAGAAGAAGTCCCATGTTTCTTCTAAATATACCAAAACGCTATTAAGTATGTTTCAATGCATGATTTGTGGAGGACATTCTAGTGGAAACTTGTTTGTTTGTATTTATATATTATGAGGGAAAATCATATCTTCATATAGAGCCGGAGCTGAACTTAGGACGGTTTAACAATGTTCCGGTGACTTTATCCAATCAGAAAATGATGGGCTACTAGGGTTTGAAAAAAAGTATACACCAATAAAGTATACATCACACAAGTAGTTAAACGAAAGTACGTAGAAAGGAAGAGGTATGATGCAATATTCACCAGGCAACAATATTACCAAGGAAACTACAACATGTTGCAACAAAATGCACGTTAAAATGATTTAGGGATATTAGGGACTTTAGGGATTTTAGAGGGAGAATGAGACAGTATTTAATACTTATGAGAACAGATGCAAACTTTAGAGATTTTAAAAGAAGGTAGATTTATCGTAAAGATAAGGATAGATATCCTAGCTTCCAATACAGTTGAATACTAAAGAATAATTACTTCTATCTTAGTTTCACCGAGCAAGGCAGATGAAAGGTTTTATGATGGCTGAAAATAAAAGATGATATTTAAGAAAACACAATAGTAAGCACGTGGTTATACAAAGCAGGATCTTTCAAAGCATAAATAAGTGTTAAAAATGTAATATACTACAAATGTAATCAGACCAGATAATTTTTTGGGACCAGCCTCAGCTTATATAGTAATCTAACCTGATTTTGTGACATCCCTTGAAGTAAGATCGTTATAGCAGTGCCACTGAAGAACCAGTTTTTTATTATCTATCATTACGAAAGGTGGCAGTAATCTTTTATGATGCCAACAAATCGATTGTAAAAATTCAAATTTAATTAAGTAGGCCTGCTTGACGATGGCTTATGTGAAAGTTAAGGCACCTCTATGGAAGGTTTGTAGAGCTCTACAAGACAGAGAAATCGTTCCAAATGTGCCCGGGTAAAGGTACAGCACACTAATGAAGATCAGTTTAGAATTTTAAGAAACCAATCTTCTAGACCAGAAAATAATTATGCAAATAATATTATAATTTGTTTTATTAATCAGAGTAGGAAACAAAAGTCTTACAACGATATATTATAACGATACCTTAGCATACGGGTACACGCATGGTTATGAAAATTACTTCTTTTAAATTAAAAGTTATCTTAATCACTGATATAGTAATGATATAGATTGAGTATTATGCAATAAAAAACTGATTCCAGCCAGAAAGTTGGTAATAACAATGAGAGCGGCAAAAAATACAGCAATAATTATTATTGTAATTTTTATTTCGGTATTCAGAATACACATCGTTGTTTGAAATTCCACCATCAGTGATATTATGAGTGGCTTAAAGCCTGTTTTTATAATACATCGTTTAAATTAACTAAACACGGACGTACAGTAATAACAGTACACGGACACATAATAGTTACACAACACACGGAATAAACATGGACATATAATAACAGTACGGCCGGCTGGTGCCGGGTAGGAGGATCGAGGCTGTGCCCTTTTAATAATAATAAAAATAATGATTTAATAAGTATTGAATAAGAAAACCTAAACTGCCCTTAACATATGAGTCTTCTAATTCCATATTTGCCCCTTTCTGTTTATCCGGACCTATACAAAATGTTTCCAACTCATTTTTGACTTATAAGAATAATAATAGTTAAGAAGTAAGCCTTTTTATTAACACAAAGCTACCGCCCTCGCAATACGAAAAAGAGTTGCTGAGAAAAGAGTTGCATTGCAAACAATTTTGAGGCATTAAGGATCTGCTTCAGAATTTTGTTCCGAAGTTTAAAACACTCTCCGACCCAGCATTACACATTTAAATCAAGAGCATTTAATTTCCTCAAATGCGAGTTAGCATTATCAAAACGTGACAATAACATGGCGCGTGACTTTGATAGGTATAGCTAAAATGATGCGTAGAAATTGGCATGTTCTTCTGCGCAGCTGCAATCCATAATGAGCTAGATGGACAATAAATCAATGACCTCATGACAAAAATTCACGTTTATCGACTTTATCCGGCTAATTCGCAAAAATTTCCGTGAATTTTTAAATTTCAGTCCTGAAATTATTCATAAAAATCTGAATCACAAGAAATAGGAAGAAAATATCACGAACTGCTATTTATTTTAAAGAAATATAATTCCTTTTTAAATTAACTGTAAAATTAAAATAATTGTTCTTGTGAAAATTGGGAATTAAGTTAATTCAATTAATTGTAAAATAATTGCAACCGAAATTAAGCGATTATGAACTTGCTACGTCTGTTTTAATGGAAGGTTTATTATTTTCAAACTGCATGCTTATAGATAAAGCGTTTAGTATTCCTAATTAATGCTAATTTTATTGTTTTAATATTTTACTCAATTTTAGAATGAGAATCTAAAAGAGAAAATAAAAAATTATATTCTTCTTTCTAATACGTATCTGGAGCAACTGCTGCCACGATGAAGCAAATGATGTGCATTAAAATTTCCGAATCCATAGACATATATAGATCCATAGATACCATTATCACTTTTCGAATCCATAGATAACTACCAGATGAGCGGGCTGCGGCCGAAGCAATGTTTATAAATTCTATGTACTGAAAAATCTCAAAATAAAATGAACTATTAATTTAACGTATTGTACACAAAGTTGCTAGCTCCGGCCAAAGTAAAATTTAGAAGTTCTATGTACACCCGAACAGAAAACACGAATGCAGCCACTCCGTTTGCCGGATTCGAAAGTTGCACCGAACTACCGATATTCACGATTTTACCCGGGCTGCGCCCGCTTTATTCACGTATGCATCCACAAAATACTGCATACAAGTTACACATGTGGAAAATCATGAAAACACCCATGCAGCCAGCCCTTTCGCCGGGATTTGAAAGTTGTACCGAACGACCAGTGTTCAGAGATTTTACCGCTCAGCCGCTAATGGGCGGTTGTACGGTTTTAAAGAAAAGTTAGTAAGCCATGAAAATACGTGACGATTGTTCATGACTAACATTAACATAGGAAATTTTATTATTTATGTGGGGAAAGGATAATATTATTTATGTGTTTATTATTTATGTCCCCAAGGAATCACATATGATTTGTAATAGACAACGTAGAAACATGATGCAACATAGGTTTTGAGGATATAGCATCAATCATAAAATATGTAGGAAATAAAACCCCTGCAGTTCAATTCAATGAAATTCACTTATTCTATAAAATATTTCATTACTTTAATGATTAAACAATTTGAATTTAAAATATGATGTCAATGGAAGTGATGACAAATTGGATTGATTTAAACACAGTCGTTTAAATCGATAAAATGTGATTTTCGATATACCATAAAATAGCATTTAAGCGAAGAATTAGATTAAGAATACTGGAATACATTTATAAACATTAATCAATTTTCATAGTGATAAAAAACGGTTTGAAATAGTGTTAATTCCTCCAGTAAGGAATAAAATACTATTTACTCCTTTACAAACACATAGGTACAACTATGGAGTTATTCAGATTTTTATGACGATGAACCTGCAAGAACCGCGATGAGTCAGCCACGCTCTTGCCATGACTAGAGTGCAAGGTTTTCCAGTTGCTAACTGTAAGTATAAAAAAGAAAACGCTAAAAAATAAAACGCGGTGAAATACTTAACATAATTCTCCAGACCAAATATAATTTATTATATGCCTATGTTCAGGGAAAAAAACTCATTCTTTAGTTTTGGGTTCAAAATATTCTATTTCTTTCGCAAACTGGAAAATCTCTTTTCTTCTATTAAATATGGACGCACGACAACCTTTCTTAAATGCTTTGTCCCAGCTGAACTCTTGAAGCAGTTTTCGTATAACACAAAATCCTTGCATGAAAATGCTATGTATACTGCTATGGGTGCATTATCGTGATCAATAAACTGTAAATATAATAATTCAACAGTCACTACCAATGTTATTCTAAATAAAGAATATTTTCGATATATTTATTTACTTATTTGTTCAAAGATTTCTTTCGATGTTTTGCTAAATATATCAAATAAATCATTTGACTATACGATAGATTTGATCCCACTAGCAAAAACTAAAAACAATAAAGAATATTAATATAAAATCTTCTCCATGAACAAATGTTGCAATGATTTGATTCGAAATACTTGATCCATAAAAAAGTACCGAATCGCCCAATTCTGTTGTATAATAGGGATACTTGAAAGTGTTCATGCAACTTTTAATATCTTAAGAACAATATTTGTTTAAATTACGATTTTCAAAGTTTTTCATAACTAAAATACTTAAAATGTTACAAAATTGTATAAGAAAAAATCTATTCCGAAAATCCCAAATGTGTCCGTGGAACATATTTTACATATATATATATATATATATTTGTAAGAGTATTAGAGCATTCTTAAATTTCGATTCTCTCAGTTCAAATCTGCTGAACATAAAACGTTGCGTTTTGTTCTTTAAAATGCTATTCTTGAAGTTATATGTCTTATGTACCCAAACTAACAATGAAAAATATACTAAGAGAGTTTATGATTTATTTAGTAATTTTTGCTGTAACAGAAACATACTTAGATTATTTTAAAATGTGATATTTAGATCACGTAATAGTCTTTCTTGTAAAATGCCTATCGAATCTTTAGATTAATTAGTAAATTGGAAAAAAGTATATTTGTGTTTGTCTTACACGCAATCGATTTTTTTCCGTCTCGCAAAATAGCTTCGAATTCAAGCGAGTC